GCTGGGGAAGGACAGCACACCCACCCCAGTCCCTTGGCCATAGGAAATTTGCTTTTCCCTGTTTTTTTCCCCAGGGATGTGGTGGTGGCAGCCCTGCCCCACCTCCTGGAGCTGGACTCGCAGCCCATCCAGAGAAACGCGGCCGAGGAGAAGCCCAGGCGGGGCTTTTCCAGCAGCGAGGAGGAGGATGATGACGATGAGGAGCTGTTCCCCGAGCCCAGGAGCCCCTTCAGCGCCGACAAAGGTACGGCTTTAGGGGCAGGGTTAGGGTTAGGGTTAGGATCAGGATTAGGGTCAGGGTTAGGGTCAGGGTTAGGGTCAGGGTTAGGGTCAGGGTTAGGGTCAGGGTTAGGGTCAGTGTCAGGGTCAGGGTCAGGGTTAGGGTCAGGGGCAGGGTTAGGGTCAGGGTTAGGGTCAGGATCAGGATTAGGGTCAGGGTCAGGGTTAGGGTCAGGGTTAGGGTCAGGTTTAGGGTCAGGATTAGGGTCAGGATTAGGGTCAGGGTTAGGGTTAGGGTCAGGGTTAGGGTTAGGGTTAGGGTCAGGATTAGGGTCAGGGTCAGGATTAGGGACAGGGTTAGGGTCAGGGTCAGGGTCAGGGTTAGGGTTAGGATTAGGGTCAGGGTTGGGGTTAGGGTGAGGGTCAGGGTTAGGGTTAGGGTCAGGGTCAGGATTAGGGTCAGGGTCAGGGTTAGGGTCAGGATTAGGATCAGGGTCAGGGTTTAGGGTCAGGGCACGCAGCTGCAGCTCCCCTGATTGCCACCCAGCAGATTTCCTGGAGGAACTGCACCGGGAGCTGGCCGGGCGCTCGCGGCGGCACCGCAGGGTCAGGTTTAGGGTCAGCGTTAGGGTTAGTGTTAGGATCAGGATTAGGGTCAGGGTCAGGGTTTAGGGTCAGGACACGGGGCTGCAGCTCCCCTGATTGCCCTCCTGGCAGATTTCCTGGAGGATCTGCACCGGGAGCTGGCCGGGCGCTCGCGGCGGCGGCGCAGGGTTAGGGTCAGGATTAGGCTCAGGGTTAGGGTCAGGGTTAGGGTCAGGGTTAGGGTCAGGATCAGGATTAGGGTCAGGATCAGGGCACGGGGCTGCAGCTCCCCTGATTGCCACCCGGCAGATTTCCTGGAGGATCTGCACCGGGAGCTGGCCGGGCGCTCGCGGCGGCGGCGCAGGGTTAGGGTTAGGGTCAGGGTCAGGGTTTAGGGTCAGGATTAGGCTCAGGGTTAGGCTCAGGGTTAGGCTCAGGATTAGGGCACGCAGCTGCAGCTCCCCTGATTGCCACCCCGCAGATTTCCTGGAGGATCTGCACCGGGAGCTGGCCGGGCGCTCGCGGCGGCGCCGCAGGGTCAGGTTTAGGATCAGGATTAGGGTCAGGGTTAGGATCAGGATTAGGGTCAGGGTTAGGGTCAGGATTAGGGCATGCAGCTGCAGCTCCCCTGATTGCCCTCCTGGCAGATTTCCTGGAGGATCTGCACCGGGAGCTGNTCAGGGTCGGCATAGGGTCAGGGTTAGGGTCAGGGTTAGGGTCAGGGGCAGGGTTAGGGTCAGGGTTAGGGTCAGGGTTAGGGTTAGGGTCAGGGTTGGGGTCAGGATTAGGGTCAGGGTTAGGGTTAGGGTCAGGTCAGGGTCAGGATTAGGGTCAGGATTAGGATCAGGGTCAGGGCACGCAGCTGCAGCTCCCCTGATTGCCCTCCTGGCAGATTTCCTGGAGGATCTGCACCGGGAGCTGGCCGGGTGCTTGTGGCGGCACCGCAGGGTCAGGTTTAGGGTCAGCGTTAGGGTTAGTGTTAGGATCAGGATTAGGGTCAGGGTTAGGGTTTAGGGTCAGGGCACGGGGCTGCAGTTCCCCTGATTGCCACCCGGCAGATTTCCTGGAGGATCTGCACCGGGAGCTGGCCGGGCGCTCACGGTGGAGCCACAGGGTCAGGTTTAGGGTCAGGGTCAGGATCAGGATTAGGATCAGGGTCAGGGCATGGGGCTGCAGCTCCCCTGATTGCCGTCCCGGCAGATTTCCTGGAGGATCTGCACCGGGAGCTGGCCGGGCGCTCGCGGCGGCGCCGCAGGGTTAGGGTTAGGGTCAGGGTTAGGGTTAGTGTTAGGATCAGGATTAGGCTCAGGGTTAGGGTCAGGATCAGGGCACGCAGCTGCAGCTCCCCTGATTACCACCCGGCAGATTTCCTGGAGGATCTGCACCGGGAGCTGGCCGGGCGCTCGCGGCGGAGGCGCAGGGTTAGGGTCAGGATTAGGCTCAGGGTTAGGGTCAGGGTTTAGGGTCAGGGTTAGGACTCAGGGCTGCAGCTCCCCTGATTGCCACCCCGCAGATTTCCTGGAGGATCTGCACCGGGAGCTGGCCGGGCGCTCGCGGCGGAGCCGCAGGGTTAGGGTTTAGGGTCAGGGTTAGGATCAGGATTAGGGTTAGGGTTTAGGGTCAGGGTTAGGATTAGGGTCAGGGCACGCAGCTGCAGCTCCCCTGATTGCCACCCCGCAGATTTCCTGGAGGATCTGCACCGGGAGCTGGCCGGGCGCTCGCGGCGGCGCCGCAGGACGGTGGCGGAGCACCTGGCCCGGGTGGAGGAGTCGTGGCAGCTCCAGGAGCCGCTGAGCTCGGGCTGGCGCCGCGCCGTGAGCACCGCCACGCCATGGCTGGCACGCAGGGGC